TCGATTTTTGGAAAATTTGAATGCGTGCAAACTCGTTAAATTTCTTAGAACCATATTTAACCGGATCTGTCTCGTTACCGCTCCGACGAAACGTTAGCACGCGTCATATTTGAAAATTTAACCCGTTTAAACACAATTTTCTCGAAAACTTCTTTTTTAACGCATGCTAACCTGCGTTAGGGTATCAAAATTATTTCATGGGAATAACATCAAAAATTATATCAACATTTAATACAAATAATTTTTGGTTAAAATTATTAAATAAAAAAATTATTAATGTTATTGTATGTCATTAATCATCCATCTCAAATTTCTACAAATATCATTATCTTTATACATTACCATATTCATATAAAGATAATGGTGATTTTTTATCTCATAATCTTATTAATTACTGTTCTTGTTCTTTAGATAATAATAATACTATGAATGATAAGACCTTATATAAACTTGTTCAGTTTGTAACATTGAATAAATCATTCATAACTTATGATCAATTTCGATTATTAAATCAAAAATTTGTTAAACTTTAATCATTAAATATCTATCAACACTTTTATTTCGAGGAAAAAGAAGAAAATAATAATAATAATAATATTCCAATACTAAAATATTGTCATGAAATTCGCTTTTATCTTCTAGAATTTACTACAGAAAAATGTTTTAATAATATGAAATATTTATTTTTAATGACAGCAAATGTTAAAATTTTAAAAGTTGATAATTTCAGTTCTTGTAATATATTTTTAAATATTGATAAAATTACTCGCCATAGTATATATCAACGGTATTTTAATCATATCAATGAATTAAATATAACTGAAATAAATAACAAAAATTATCAAAATTTATCAATTTATATGAATTTTTTTCAAAATATTAAAATATTAAAATTATCATTTTCAAGTGAATTAAAATCAATTATGATCTATATATGTATAATACCTATTCTAGGTACATCATATTTAACATTAAATTATTTAGAAGTTTGTTTTGGACTTATAATCAAAATATTATTATAGATGAAAATACGTATCTGTATTTAAAACAAACGTTAGATCATATTTTTGATACTAATAATTATTTATTTAATTGTCAAAATGGTTGTATCGAAGTTTGGACATAGAAAAGAAAAATAACAGATCATAATAAACTAACTGGGAATGGGTGTTCGATGCCCGGTGAATTCGTCGTTTCGTTGCGGACAATTTGTTGCAGATTTTTTCGTTTAGGGATGTCTTCAAAATTGTGCGCTTTCCATATGCACTCACATACAGTAACAAAATTTCTTTTTCTGCTACGTTGATTGATTCAATATAATGTCTCGTTTGTTTTAATCTATATGTTTGTACAGCTATTACTCTATCTCATTTTGAAAAACATATTTTCTCATCAATTGAACACAATTAAACAGTAAAAAAAATGGAACATCTTATTTTAAACGATGTGTTGAAATTAAAAGGTATAATTTTTTATAATTTTATTGAGAAAGAAATCGATCCGATGGCAAAAGAAATATTAGAACTTCAAGGTTTTGATACGACAGTTAGTTTACCCCGAAATAATGATAATGTATTTACAATATTTAATAATAATATTAAAGATTTGGAGGAGTTGAAAGAATAAGTTTCTTTTGACATGAAAAATGGAGATGGCGTAAAATTTATTATCAAAGGTGGTTTAAAAAGTAAAGTTGATAGTTTTCTTCGTGATTTACGTGAACTGTATTAAAAACAACAACAAAACTCAACATTCTCAACACAGTTCAAATAATCAGCATTAACGAAAACAAAATCATTGAACAATATTAGTGTTAGAAAAATTGTTCATGAGTCAGACAAAGATGAGTAAAAGCATTATAATTATTCGATAAATACATTCTCAAGCAAACATCATCTATGGGAAAAATCTAGATACATTTCGTCCGTAATCGGGCGCTAAACGACCAGTTGTCATCCAGATTACTAGTTGAAAAGGGACTTTTAACCAGATGCGTCTGCATATGTAACTAGCAATAGTTAAATCGATCGTTTATCGAGAGATAAATCAATAGTTGCAACTAGAAGAAATCTAGCAAGTGCTCGATGACTAGATTTCCGCTGCCGTTACCAGTTCATTGCAATCGGCTAAAAGACTAATAATCTAGCCGAATTGGGCGTCCGAGATTTTTTTTAATGCTTTGATTGAATAAATGGTGTAAAGAACAACAGCCACCAATAGCGTTGAATGAAAGTATTGATTCTGAATTAACGAGTGAACGTAGTTCTGATGATAGTTCATTAATAGCATCAGTCAAATGTAATTGCGATGTTAAAGCAAAGTTAGGTCACTGTCAAGAGCACTTCAAAATGTCAAACTTTTATTCTCATCAAGTAAAGCGTGTAAAGGCGGAAAGAAGAGAGAAAAGTGATTTAAGTATAATTAGACACTTGAATCTAAAACAATATTAAAAAATCTCAACAATTAACAACTAATAAACCAAACATACCTAAAAAACCAAAAGAATCAAATGATAATAATCAACAAAAATGCCCACGTAATAAACCCTATGAACTTCTTGTAACCAAGATCTTGACTTCTAAAATTTTTTCAGTAAGATCTTGATTGGTAAGAAAACATAAAAAATCAAGAAATTTCACGCAGTCAAGATCTTGAACATCTTGTAATTTCTTGACTTCTTGTACCAAGATCTTGAAAATTCTTGAATTATCGTTTTGTTTTACACTCTTGTATAAATATAAGTGCGAATATTTTTACACTTAGCATAACTTCGAATTTTTATCCTTCTTGACCATAGTGGTTTAAGGAAGAATCTATGACTCTGTATGGTCGTATATCCAATGGCTACAACTGTCATAAATAAAAACAAAATGTAAAGAAAATTTGTCACTCAAACTCTTGCAACATCTTGAGTGGCTTCACTCAAGATCTTGAAATTTGTTCCCAAGTCCTTGAGTGAAGTAAGCCAGGATGTTTCAAGATGCGCGCGAAAGATTCAAGAATTCTAGATCTTGACTTCTTGATGCTTTTTCCAAGATCTTGAGGGGTACAAGAAGTTTCGCTACGGGCATCATCAGTCAATTGTGACAGACGATAGTTGATTCAAAATAAAAGATAAAATAAAATACATATATGCAGAACACATTCAGTAGTCATATACTGTGAAAAAAGGAAAAGTTGTATTTATCTATTCTGTATTTTATCTTTTATTTTACAGCAACTATCGTCTGCCACAACTGATTAGGGGTGGGACAGTTCCAGTTCTCATTGTTCCTAGTAACTGGTAAAAAGAACTGGTGACCAGTTACCGTTCCTAATAACTGGAACTGGTGACCAGTTACCGTTCCTAATAACTGGAACTGGTGACCAGTTACCGTTCCTAGTAACTGGAACTGGTGACCAGTTACCGTTCCTAGTAACTGGAACTGGTGACCAGTTACCGTTCCTAATAACTGGAACT